TGGATTTCTGACGGCATCCTTGATCCGTTTCTTGCACATGCCGTTTTGAGCGAATTGGGAGGTAGCTTCAGCCTCTTCCCCAAACGATAGGTTGTGCAGGGATTGCAACCGGCTCACTGTGAAGTTGATATCCTTTGACGCACCAAGATCCAAATCACATTCGCTTCCATCTGATAAGCTGCTGGTCTCATCAGATTCAGATTCACTAGATCCACCCTCAGACCTTAGGGACTCATCTGTGGGACTGGTGGCAGGGTGAAAAGAAGCATTGTATCGAATGGCGTTCCGGAGAACCAGTGCATACTATTGCAACCGAACCACCCACTGGCATTTGCAGTAGATCCCTGGTCACTGTCACTGCTTTCATCATAGCGCCACGTGGCAGGTCCACTTGGAGCAGGCTCATCTTCATCCCACCGATGGAGGACGGGCATGACGGAGGGCAAGGGTCACACCCCACTGGGTATTATGATATACAATGTTGCAAAAATGTGTCAGTAAGGCACGTTTCAACACATGAGGTTTGGATTGGATAGTTTTGCAAATATCACATGGTCATAATGTAGCTGCAAAGTATGTGTTTTTTTAAAACATATATTATGATATATAAGCTTCTTGCTACACCTTGAACTCCAGTAGCACATAGGAACAGGTGTGGCTTGGTTCCAAAGGTACCCACCAATCCCTTAGCACACTGCATCGCATAGCAAGCGGAGCTCACTTGTTTTCTTACACCTCTGAATTGCGGCAGATCCAACATCTAATTTTGGTAGATCCAATTGTTATTGCAAGTAGCGAGACATCTTGATGGGGCACACGGCCAAGAGCAAGGCCGAAATAGCTGCAGCCACCACTCGGACGGCCATACCATTACCCGCCAAGCGCTTTAGGTCCTGATTTGGAACAGAACATGCATGTTCGATTGAAAATCAACTACTGTGAGAGTGGTGGGTATGCTCTTTGCCATGAGCTGACACTTGGTTGGAAGGGCCTGAGTGCTTACCTGCACTTTGGCTGTCCTGGTCTGTGTTGCCCGAAAGATCCAGCTCCCCAAGTGGCCATCCCATGAGCAGCATGCATTCTCGTCCTCAGCGTTGCCAGGGCTTGGGAAGATGACTGAGCGAGAAGGTTTCTGCGTAATATGAACTGTAGCTTGTCAAGCAAGAGTTACAATGGACAACAAGTCAAATCCAAGAAGCCTGTCAAGAACCTTTGTTGCGTCCCACCAATCAAATATTGCCCCGCAGGCCTCAGCCACCATAGAGGGTTAGAGGGGATACATGATCATTTAACAGCACCTGACCTGTAGAATCCAGGAGTTTGTTTCACTGCGATTCACCAGAAGATCAGCTGAGAAAAGAACGTGAGACACATCAACGGGGATTGGCTGGACTTCACCATGGACATCCTTCCAATAGACTGGGTCGTGTTGATGGCTTCAAACCCATCGTAGGCATAGGTCACGAGGTCAAGCGCCTGAGAGTATTGTGATTCCGTGTATTTGATACACCATGAGATACCCAAACATCCAGCAGCCTGTTGCTCTCGGAGGGATTTGATCTGGTCCGCCGCATTGGGGTATTTCTTCTTGAAGGCAAGTTTTGCCCTGGACAATGTGACCTAAGCAAGAGTTTCTTTACTGCTGGGGGAGCATCAAGGAAATCTTGATCTTGAGCATTTCTTTCAATAGAGATCTTGTCCATTGAACACATCAGCCAATGCATCCAGGAAACACCCTTCCCCTTTGCCCAATCCCGGTGACGCTTCACCCAAGCTGCCTTTTTGACTTTTTTCCTAAGGCGAGTGGGACGTAGGATGTTGGACAAGTGGGCAGGGTTCTGGCGACAAGCTTGTTTTAATTCGGTATTTGATGAAAGTTGAACTTTTTAAAAATCAAGTATCTTTCTTCTGATGGTCTGACTGACACGCTTCACTTTCTTTGTCCTCTTCGAAATATCCGAGGCAACGTAAGGGTGGTCTGCTGGATACAACAGATCTGTCCTGAAAGGAGAAAAAAATGCACCCTGAGCCACAAGAAACATCAGGACAATTGAACTTCGGTGAAAGTATTGCTTTGTTTCGATAGAATTTCATCAGCTAGGCAGTGGTAAGCTTCCAGGAATATCGTGGTTCATGGTGCAGCTTGAGCAGGTGGTTGGCAATGAAGCCCTCAAAATCCTCCTGGGCCTTTGGAACCAACAAATCCTTCCTGACGAGGAAAATGTATATTCGACGCCTTGAAATGGGACTTCCATAGTCGGTCCTAGGAAAGACACATTAAAAAAAGCACATTGATCGCCAAACTCAGAAGTACATAGTAGGCACAAAACTTGTGGCCAGGGAGCGGCTGCATGTACTCCCATGTAATCGCATACCTAATTCGCTTCCATCATTCATGTCCCCCCAAGCGATAACAAATGACAGCTTGTTTGCAACTAAACTTAACATAGGTGTGGCTCGCTGAGGCACTGCTTGTTCAGCTTTTTGTGCAGGTATTCCAGCACCGGGTGAATGACTCTGGCAAACCCTGGCACATTCTCCAGTAGGCCCATCTTAGTCAGTAGGCAATAGCAGCAAACATGGAACACGTAAGCACACATCCAACAAACACAAACCCTGATACGCTGCTGGTCGTAACTCTGCCAAGGGTCAGCAGGTTGTAATTCTGCCAAGTTGGAGATGCACCTAAACAGCTGCCTTGCATTAGCGTCCCTCAAAAGCGAACTGCCAAAGTGGAGATAGCTAAACGGCGTGCAGGGAAAGCCTGCTGCATATAAGCCTGCCTTAGCCAGCTGCATCATGATAAAAGCATTGTGGAATACATTCTGTCAAAGATATAGGCCAGTGTGCAAAACAACCGTTGAGAAAGACAGCCAAGATGCCTTTTTCTTCCAACGTTTCACGCTGTGGTCGAATATAGATCCCCGGAGCCTTAAGTCTGAAGATTCTGAAGCTTCTTTAAAATGGTTGGCACTCCTCCAGAAAGGAAATGCAAGTCAACGTGGTTATGCAACCCAGCAACTCCTCCATTGGGTAATTCCTGTCTAAGAAGGTCTGGGCCGGACCATTGATTTCACTTCCAGTCCTTAGTTCCATATGGTCTTATGATGCGCTATGGTCACCAAGATGTTGCCACAAACATTTTAGAAGAATGCAAAATACATAATGCTGAGATTCAAATGCTTCAAGTATTTGGTCTTCTTCGCATGTTCAAACATCTTCTTCAAGACCATGTAGGGTGTGTCTGTCCCGGAGCCTTGCAACATGTGTCCAATTTCATGAACACAAAAAGCACAAACCATTCTCTGTTTGTCGCAGTATGTTTATTTTTTTATATGGTAATATTAGCCCAAGAACAGTCGCTGGCGAATCCAAATTCAGATCTCCACTGTTGAAAGAACTTCTCCAGTCCTAAAGCCAGCCGGAGAAGTTTGGAACATCATTTTCTACAATGGGTCAGTGAGAAGTAAAGAAATCAATCACCAAAGATCCAGCACGTTGGCAAAACTCTGCTCCCAGATTTGCCACATATGCCTGTTGAGCTGCTGTCAGGTCCTACAGAAGGCATTACTATTCTTAGCATTCTAAGTTTAGTTTGATTCCACATTCCAAAAATTTAAAAAGAAAGTCCTCAGGGTCATCATCTTCTGAATCAGATATCTCGCGCCAGATTGGCATGGCTAATCTAAGCTCCTTTTCCCTGAGCAAAAAAATGCCTGCACCTGCCAACTTGCAAAGATCCAGTTACATTCTGGAAAAGACTCAGTTGCTAGTGGACAAGCATCTATGTATTTGTTTGTTTGTTTGTTTGTTTATCTCTCTATCTATCTCTCTATCTATCTATCTATCTATCTACTGTATCTATCTATCTATAAAGTGGATGCCCAACATCCACCGGCAATTCCAAGGGGATTGTTTATTTTGTTTTGTTTTGTCCAGCCGTCCCCCCGAGAGTTCACAAGAATTAACTCTAAAATTAATGTTTGTATATACATGGTGTGTCACGTTTGTGCACATGCCGAAGGAATTTACTCCGATATGAATTTTAGCAAGCGGATTGTCATTTTCCCACGCCAACATGTGAGCTGGGAGAATTAAATCTAGAGTCTAGAATCTAGAGTTAATTCGTTGTTTTCAGAGATCTGGTGGAGGATATATATCTAAACCCAAGGCCTTCTTTTTGTCAGGGCTGCTGCAGTTGTCACGCTAGGGTACTGCATCAAAGTGTTTCCCCAACATTCAAGCTGGGTGGCCCTAGAGGGGCCCTGGTGAGGAATTAAAGCAGGAGTTATATAATTCTTGGCAAAGAGGGTCAGTGAACACAGGCCCTGGGGAGGGAATAGCCCTAGCGAGGAATTAAACCAGGAGTTAAATCTTAGCACAGAGGTCAGTGATCTTGATATCACCAAAGTCTCTTTCTGATGTCTTACAATCATTCAATGGTGATATTCCTGGTGGGCCTATTGGGGGGCCCCTGGCGAGAAATAAGGTCAAGAGTTAATTCTGGCAAAGGGGGTCAGTGAACAAAGTCCGTGGAGAGGAATTAGATCAAGAGTTAATACTTCGATATGCGCAGAAGAGTTGAAATGAACGAAAGCTAGAGTTTATTCTGAGAACAGTACGTGTGGAGACGTTGGTTGCAAAAGAAATAGCTCTTGATTTAATTCTTAACTCGTCTTTTCACACCTTTTTCCCCAGTGTTTCACTTGTGAATATTGGTTAACTGCCGCTGTCGGAGGCCAGATACATTCGAGTTCATGGCTTCAAAGTCATCAAAGAGCATTAAAGAGCCGTCGTCCAACTGGTATTCAAAATGATGTTGAAACACACCTATGACTGCCAGCGATAGCATCTACTCTTGATAACATGCAGAAACGCACTGGAGGCATGACAACGAAAACCCCTTACAGAGCGAGACGGAAATTTCTCGAACCTGAAGCCTTTACACTTCTCGCCCCCACCTTGGGCCCGCACATGAGATCTACTCTTTGGCCCATCAGGTCACCTGCTTTGCAACACCCTTTGGCCAATGATTCGGCAATGCCTACATCACCACCCCACAGATTCGAAGCTGGTGCCAAGTCTGAAATACTGCTGATGCATGTTGGTAGAGTGGGGGGGGGTTGCTGGATTGACGCATCCAGCTTCTTTTTTCAGTGTTGCCAATAGTGCGGGAGTGACATCTCAAGACTCAATGTGTTTGGTACTGCTTAGTAGTGTTCAAAACGTGTTGGCAAGACAGTAGAATGCACTGGCACTTTGATGGATTGTTTGTGGCTACTGGCCACACTCATTGCAGATGCGAGATGATGTCCTAATATGTCCTAATGCTTTGAGTGTGGGAGTTTGATAAATAAATATAACTATACATAATACTATACATATACACAGACAGAGAGAGGGAGATTATATATAGTAACATTAAATCATCCAATGAATAACCTGGTCCATTCTGTTCCTCATTGGTCCCCATTGTTGAGGTTGAGAAGAGCTGCCAGTTGCTGAAGGATTCCATGCGCTGTGTGCCTGATCTCTTCAAGCATCACCTCCCCGATGTGGCTCGGACATTGGTCACCGCCTTCCAGCAGCATCAGCATTCGACTTACCTTTACTCGGCAGAGGTTCTAGCTCGTACATATGCAAAAGACCCTGAGAATGTCCCGGTGCTCACCGAGCTGTTCAATCAGCTTAGCGGCATTGGCTTGCAAAGCCTCGTCCATTCGGAAGACAAGCTGGAAGAGATCCGAGAACTTGCGGAGGCTTCTTGCCCATTTATGGATGTGTATGTAGGTGTTTACATACTACATATTAGCACAATATGAGCACAGTGCATCACCCACCCGACTGCTATTTACATATACGTAACTATGGTTGGCTGGGGCATTTCTGGATGAAAGTGCTGAAAGAATCTCAAGGGCCCAGCTTTCGCAACTGCCAAAGGACCTGTCCGGGCTCTGTGTTGGGGAGGCGCACTTGAGGCTCGCAGGAAGGTTTGTTCTTTGATTCTTTGAGTGTTCTGCAGGTCTCCGCGCTGGAATGGGGATTGCGCCCGAGTTTTTCAGGAAAACAAGCAGCAAGCAGGCCCTAATATTTATATATATATATGGTTCCCCCCCCCCCGGGACCTACCCTTTTGTACTTTTCAGCGATATTTACTGTGAATTATGCGCATGTTGACATTGATTTTTGGGTACAAGTTTTAGATTACTTTTTGGTTGAAGGGATTGTGGGGGTGCCATATATATATATATTTACACAATAAGAAAGGAAACAGTGGTCAATGAAGACCTCTTGGGTGGAAACTAGATGATGATAAAAACAAAAGTAGCGCAACATGTTGCGCAACAAACTAAAATCCTAAGATTTCAGCACTAGTCGTTGCGCAACCTAAAATCCTAAGATTTCCAGACTACAACAATGAAGTCAAGGTTTGGACTAGTGCTGAAATCTAGGATTTTAGGATTTTAGTCTGTTGCGCAACGACTAGTGCTGAAATCTTAGGATTTGAGGATTTTAGGAGAATACCGAGTGAGTTGATTTATGAAATCTTTTTATCATGTTAATAGTATTTCATGTCTCAAATATGGTTTAGTTAAACCTCTAAGTATGTATGTTTTATTTCCCGTCATGTCACGTTTTGTTTCTAATACTTCATAAGTTTTTGCGCTCCATTTGCTGGTATATTCTTTTCTGTCAGTATAATTGCCTCTATTATTTTGGTATATGCTAACATCATCACCTACATTGATGTTTGGATATTTTCTGGTGTTCTTTTCCTTGATTGTCAAAATCACTCTTACATTTACCGTATTATCATCCTTATGTGCCTGTTTTGGTGTCATTCCTGTTGATGAGTGCTTTGTGCTGTTGCATTTGTTCAAGGCTGGTATCAACATATCTGTACAATTTGCAGTGTTAAATCTAACACGGTCATGTATCATATTCTTCATGGTTCTAATAAATCTCTCGGCAACATTTGCATGAGTTGATGTTATGATATGTTGTATGCCTTCATTCTTTAAAAACTCTTGTACTACTGATTGAAAAGCACCATCATTGTCACTATAAATAGATATTGGAGAACCCATTTTCTTAAATGATTGTTTCAATACATCTAAAACACTTTCTGAATTGTTTTCCTTCATAGGCACTACATTAGCCAGCTTACTAAATATGTCAATACTAACCAATGCGTATTGTGGTTGTTTTTTTGGTTGGTTCTATTTTGACCTCTGGAGCTTTTACAAGTGGAGCCATGACCATTGTATCAATTTGATACTCAAATCTGGCAAAAGGTGCTGTGTATGAGTTTGAACCCCTATATCCTTTTATCTGTTTGTTAGGCTGTTTGGTCATAAACTGTTTTACTTCATCCAAAGTTATTGAAGGGTCTTTTTCCTTCGCCTTTTTGTATGTGGATTGAACACTACCGAACCCTTCCTCAACATCATAATATACATTGCTTATAATCTGTTCCTTTGTCAATGGCATAATAATAGAATTAGATAATAATGTTTTCCCTAAAAAGATACTTAAAGAAATAGTGTTATATATTATTAAGTGAAAATGACTTCTATGATTTGTGGATGTAAAATCACATGTGATAGGATAACATTTGAAAAATAAACACGTGATGAACGAGGAATTCTTATTAGTAGATTTGAAGTTTTCCATCAATATCAACAATATGTTGATGTGTGTGGTCAGTGTTGTAGGAAAGAGAAACTTGTTAATGAGATTGAAAAAGAGAAACTGAAACTGGCAAAGGAACAGTTTAAAACAAATACCGAAGAAAATGATGAAGAACCAGAACCTGATAGTGAGAGTGATGATTAATTCATAATATCTTAACAAAACATATTATGAACTAATAAGCCCCAAAATAGATATAAAGAAATAGCACTATAATATATTAAGCTGATGAGTGATAATATGAAAAAATGTTCAAAATGTAAAAAGTAAAAGCAATAGACAATATTGATGGAGGAAAGGCATTATGCATTAAATGTCTTGAAGAGAAAAAACATATATAGAGAAATCACAGAGAGGAATTAAGACAAAAAACAAAAGAGATTTATGAAAAAAACAACAAACACATACTTGCCATATGTAAAGAATACAGAGAACAAAAAAGAGATACAATTCTTGAAAAGAAAAAACAGTATCGTGAAGACCACAAAGAAGAAATCAAAGATAAACAGAAACAATACTATGAACAGAACGGGGAACAGATACAAGATAAAAAGAGACCAATACAACAGTTTAAAAATTGTATGTCCTGTTTGTAAATGTAAAAATACAATTAAAAGACATGAAGAGAGTCAAAAACATCAACTAAAACTGAAAGGTCAAGAACAAACAAAACAACACCAGCAAACAATAGATTATCTAAATGTTAATTTTCCATCCTACCAAGAATACTAACAAACATCTTTACAAAGAACACATTTCAAATGGTCCACATCTGGTCAAACACATAAAAGGTAGGTCCCGGGGGGGGGCTAGCATATATATATATATATAAACTATGGCCCCAACATGGTCCAACTACAACGCTCGCAAGGTCATCCCTTGTCACCATCCCTGTGCTTCCCTCACTCATCGCTCGTTAAACCCTGCGCTATGCTTGAGTTGTAGGCATTTCAGAGTACCCAGAACACGTGGCCATCATTTCAGGGCACTTTCTGACACAGCTGGCTTGAGATTCAAGGGGTTTTTGATATGAACATGTCCTGTTGGAGGTGTTTCTTGTTTCGTCCTGTTGGCTGGCTACGATTTGTTGTGATTTGCTCGTCCTACTGGGTAAAGCTTCAGCAGCTTTGACTCTAGTCACGAGGACTTCAATGGACTCGATATCATGAGCTGAGGCTCGGGAGTCCATCCCTGCCATCCTGCAGCCTTGGGCCTTTACCATGGTGCCTGGGTCTGGGAGAGGTATGAGGGCCTAACGGTTGGGCCTAACGGGCATTTGCATACACGGATGCAGCTATGAAGGCATGAAGAGTCCCAAACCGCCTCGGGCTGTGCCGTGGGACAGGAATTCCTTCAAGTGAGTCCACATTGCATCAATTCCACCATCGTGAACATTCAAAGCCCCCGTATAGAATCTTCAATCGGGTCACATCTGCAACTCATCACCATCGCGTTCCACTCATCACACGAACGAAACCAGCCCCCCCCAAACCCCACGCCACCCCCGAACCCCCGCGTAGAATCTTCTGTCGTCACATCAACCATTCATCATGTTGTAAGGTTGATGAACACGATGTTGTGGAACCGATCATCATGGTCTCTACACAAAATCAACATCCATGGCCACCGGGTCGAAAAAGATCAGACTATTCTGACTATACTGATTGTTGCGTTTACATGGTGATTGAATGTGATTGATAGACGAAACATAATGGTATTGGCTGTATTTTTGTATGGTGCAAGATGTTGTGGTGAATTGCGTTTACATGGTGTTGTGGAAGTTCGGTGCTGCGGGGTAGCGATTGTCAAAAAGAGCACCCGTTTCCGACCCGGTGGCACAAACATGTGGCCGGCACCTTTCAACTCGCACACTGCCATGGACATCTGGCAGCAACACCCTGCAAGTGCCTCTGAATCTGGAATGAACACCCTGCAGCGGCAGCAGCTGCTCCAACGCGCACAGTGCGAGCACATTTGGCAATGGCGTTCTGCAGCGGAGCCAACACCCAAGCTCCAAAGCACGCACAGCCATAGACCTTGGAGCGGCGCCCTGCAGCGGCCCCGGCACGCAGCCCACGTTGCCATACACATCTGGCAGCGGCGCCCCAACACACAGGCACCTATTCTATCAAAGAACCCCAACAGCTCTTGCTACTTCTGGGAGAAATTGCATTCCAGATGTTTTGTTTGTTTTGCCTTCTGATTCTATGACCCAGGATAACCTTTTTGAAGTTGACCATCTCCAAAGCACCATGTTTATGCACATTGCAGCGGCTAGGCTAGGTGCAGTGGCACCAGCACCCAAGCTCCACAGGGCACACGGCCACAGACATCTCGCAGAAGCAACCTGGAGCGGCACCTTTGCATTGGCATTTGGCACCCTGCAGCAGCACCAGCACCCAAGATCTAACGCATGCAGTTAGACTTCGACTTTGCCACGAACATCTGGCAGCAGAAGCAGCTGCGGAACCCTGTAGCAGTGGCACCAGGATCCAGGCTCCAAAGCGCACACGGCCATCGACATCTCACACAGGGTGCTGCAGCGGCACCAGCACCTCTTCCAAAGAAAACAACACAACATATGATTCCCTGTTTGTAATGATGGCCTAGGGGGGCCTGTGTTGTTTGCCCTGACATTGCAATCCACAGCACTTGCGTGGCAAAATGGTTTGGCAGGCGCGGCAGCTTTACGAGTCCGAGTTGCAGGAGGCCGTGCTTTTGATTCTTCAGATTTTGGGATTGGGTGATGAACTGATATGAACTGATGGCAATCTCACCTGTTAGAGCCAGCCAGCGAACAACTTCCCGTTTTGAGCTCTAAGAGACCCAGTTCACCGTGTGGGTGGGTTTGCGCAAAGCAGCAAGTCCTAGTATGAATGAGTGCTGCTACACAATTGGGCCTTGTATGCATGATGTCAAGTCAAGGGCCTTCCTATTTGCCTCGAAGGCCCGCTCAAGTCTTGCAAAGCTCCAGGCTGAACTGCAAGAGGTGCTCTCAGCGTTTCAGTTTTTTCCATGGCGGTGCTTCACCGGTACTTGCGATAGTTCAATTCTGTTGAAGGCACAGCACTGCGCGAAGCCAAATGTACAGGCGCACATCATTGCACATGTGCATCACTCACCTCGAAAATTTTGAATGTTTTGCGATTTGTATTCCATGGCCCTGTTGCAGTAGTAGGTTTCAGAGAGCGAATGCGCTGGCGGCTGAGTTGTAGGTTGTGTGAGTTCTATAGCTGTGATGGCGCGGAATTAGTTTGCGAGTTTGCGCATAAAAAGATGGGAACCTCATTAATAGGGACTTTGCAATCCTTTTTCTCCTTTGTGTAGTGTTTGTTTAATGCTTTTCATAGCTTTTCATGTTTGCGCACATGTCATGTTCTAAGGCCGGGTGTGTGGCCTTGCGTCGGCGACTTAGTGCAGTGGTCCCACGCACCATGCGCCTTGCGAGCCCTCGTGTCCGGCCAGGTGCCGAGCTATGCGCTGCCCAAGAAGAAGCACGGAAGGCGGGACCTCGGAGAATTTGCCGTTTGGTATGCAAATCGGCCGCCGCCGGAATCAATTGACATGCTTCATTCCTATGATTTTGTTGCACATCACTTGGTTGCAAGTCGCCTTTGATCATTGCCAGAGACCGCTTTTCCGCAAGTCTTCCCACACTGCCTTTGTACTACAGGCAACGCTTTGAGGCAAAGAACCCCCAGCCCGGAAACAGCTGTGCAAACTATATGGCTGCAAAACGACCACTTACCTAGAAATCTTTAGAAATTACTTCCGAACACCTTCACGCAGCCCTGCGGACGAGAATGCCACCCATGCTGCAGCCCTGTCACCGGATCACTGGAATCGAGCACATGCCGACTGCAAGTGTTCGATTGTTGGGAGGTTCTCTTCCTCTAGTTCCCCTTCCATAGCGATAGCTTGGGGTTGTACACTCTTTAGGCAGCTGGTCGCCATGGGATTCACGGCCCCAGGCTTGGGCGATGGTGTCCCAGTGTCTCGGTCATGTTTCAGTGGTGTCTCGGTCTTGTGTCTGGCAATGTTCGTGTATAAGTGTATAAGTCTAAGTGCGTTGCCTCATGTCCATACATCCACTGCTTAGATGTGCTTCTTCTACCGGAAAATATTTTTGTTGTGTCCTCCAAACGCGTGCCTTTGCTGGTGCTAGGACTTAAAATATGATCTTTTTGACAGCTGCATTCATGGTACCTTTCGTCTTTCGTGTGTAAATTGCCAGTTCGTCCTTGATTGCTTTTCTGCTTGATTTGGTAATAACAATGGTTCTCATTTGTGTACAATTTATATATCCTTCCCATATCCTTCCCAGACAATCCCAGACAGCACTTGCGCACATATGTATATGTATATGTATATGTATATGTATATATACACAACTCTGCTTGGCGCAAGCTTTTTTGTGTTGTGTTGGAACGGTTCTTCACACATATACACCACGCGCAGACACTTGAACATTAAATACGGCCATCGGTCAACATTCCCCAGTTGCAAAAACGTCGGATTGATGCCGCCCCTGGCCTTGACGGGTGGCGCACAGACGAGTTACGTTCATTCACTGCACAAGAGTTAGCACCTGTTGCCAAATTCTTTGCTGAGTTAGAAACATCCTCCGAGGCCATCCCTGATACTTTAGTATGTGCAAAGCAGATGAATCTAAACAAGCCGGGACCAGCAACTCCACTCAACAAACGCCTAATCACTGTTTTACCAGCACTGCTGCTTGCCTACACGGGAACTCGGTTTTCCCAGCTCCAAAAATGGCAAGCTGCAGTGATGCCATCTAGTATCTAGGGTGGAATTCGACAGACACATGTCCACCCTGTACAATGAACTCCGCCTTGAAATTGATTGCGCCAAGTTGGACGGCGCTCCATTAATTGGCTTGAAATTGGACAAGGCAAAAGCATTCGACAGGATCATCCCTTCGTATGCAGCGGCATTATTTCTTGCGTTTGGTATTCCCAAGTCTGTTGTTACTGTCTTCTTGAAGATTTACCAAAACCTGCATCGTCATCTTGCTTATCGGAATTGGTGCTCCCCCATCTCTACTACACCAGCCAACGGGGTGGCACAGGGTTGCTCCTTTTCACTACTAGCGATGAATGCATACAATAAGGTCTGGTTCCACCTTCTCGAACACATTCCTCAGATCTCAGCTCGCGCTTTCATAGATGACGCGTACATGTGGTGTCATCTTCACCACAGTGCTTTGCTTCAGAAAGCCATCGATGTGACTAATCTTTGGGATAAACTGGCTGGTCAGAAACTTAATCCCCACAAATCGTCCATGTGGAGCACGACAAACCAAGCAAGAAAAACCCTACGTGAAGAGTTTCCTGACTTTCCTGTTGAGCTTGAGATCGTTGTTCTTGGAGCGCGTATGTACTGCTCGGAGCGTGAATCATTTGACTTTCCTCAATCCACGTTGAAACGTGTCCTAGGGGATATCGACAACATTGCTGCTCTCCCTATCCCCCACAAGACGCGAGTTCATCTTATTGGGGCTAAGGTCATTCCGCCAATCTCATTTGGCTGTCACATTTCCAAGATTCCGAAAAAGGACATTGACACCATTCAGAGTGCAATTGCACGCGCCTTATGGGTTGGAAGGCAAAAATGGAGGTCTCGAACACTTTTGCAGGCCATCCATGCCCAGCCATTTCGGACTGACCCAGTGTTTGCCAATGCCTATCACACGATTTTTGAGACTATCCGGTTGCGCAGCACTGCGCCTGAAATCATTCCTAAACTCAAGCGTACCCTCGGTGCGGACAATAATACCAAGCATGCCTTGGCAGTATCCCTTTATGATGCAGCCAACATTTTGGGATTACAAATCGACACAGATCTTGGCCTCAGCTTCCAAGGTTCGCAACCTTTGGACCTAACTAAAGTCCGACCACCAGATGTCAAGCGTGCCCTGCAGCATATCACACGTCACGCATGCTATGTTTCGACCCCCCCTAATGGGAGAAAAGACTTTTGCAAACCGAGCGGGATCTTCGACCTCACACAAAGTACTCTCATTCTCCAAAAGAAAGAGGAAATCATCCCAGGTGTGATCTCTGACTCCTCCCGTTTTGAATCAGTGGTGATTGGGTGCACGCTTACCAACGATCGCGTGGCAAGCTCAGGATGGACGGAGTCTGCGCTATGCTGCTTCTGCGGTGAGACCAAGGAATCAATGCCTCATTTGGTCGAATGTGCAGCCCTTCATCAACTCATCGGACCGCCCATCCCGCACGAGTTCGGTCCAAATTTTTTGATGTTAGGCCATGTGCAGCATCCATATTTTATTGGCAGGAAAAGGCTTTTGTCTCTTGATGCCAGTACAATTGCATGTGCGGCACATTTCGACGCAGGGCCTCTTCGAAAGGTTTGGACAGATGGCTCTGTGTTATTTCCTACCAAGTTCTGGCTTACTACAGCCACATATGCGGGCATTGCAGAGGACTTTTCAATCATCTCCAAGGGTCAGGTGAACCATTGGAACCTGGCATCTTACACAGCAGAGTTGTGGGCTGTGGTAGTGGCGTGTTTGAAGGCCACTGGTCCCACCATCATTTTCTCCGATTCTTTAACAGTTGTGCAACAATGTAGTGAAGTATTTGCCAACGGTTTTATTGGGGAAGATTGGTTGTGCTCCCCATGGTGGCGCAGCCTCAGGGATCTTTATCAGCGCAGACAATAAGTGTTAGAGCATCCTTTCTTGATTCAGCGGGTTCCAGCCCACAAGCTTGAACGGGTGCCGGAGCAGCTTCTTACAGAAGATTTGGCAGCTAGTGCAGGTACCACCAAGGAACACATTTTGCACAATAGAAGGGCCGATATGGTTGCTAAGGATTTGGCGCGCCGACTTGCACCAGTTGATTGTACATTGCAGCAACAAGCAGACAGAGCGATTTGTCAGCACCACAATTGGTTGATTAATCTTCATAGGCTTCTACCCACGAGTGTTCCTACTGACAATGCGGGTGATGCTTCACGTGTTGAAGCTGTTGTTGAGATTACATCAGACCAATGTAAGGCACGGTTCCCGCAGTGGATGTGGGGTCTAAGACCATCTCTTTTTACATGGAAACCCAAAACTCCGGTGCAGTGCCCATGCCCGGCACGGTGGACACGACCGGAGCGTGACTGGCACACTTTGTGTGCCTTCTTCCGCTCGTTGAAGTGGCTTCCAGATGTCCATCAGAGTTTTTCATTCTCTGAACTCACGGTTTGCTTCCATTGTGAGGGTTTCCGCCTCGAAGGAGACCAACAACAGCTGACTTTTTACGACATATATAAGCCGCTACGAGCTTGCCTTCTCGCACTTCACAAAAGCGACCAAGCGGACCCTTTTCCTGGACGGTTCAACTCCACGTTCCCCCGCTCTTGCGGGCGTGTGATGCCTCAAGGGTGCATCGAAGGTTGCATCCCCTACCACACGGATGCGACCAGAGTTACATTGGCAAGAATATTTTCCGCAGGTGCTGGTCGTACATTGGAGTCGTGGATGCTTTTGTTGTCAGATTTTTGAGCCATGCACGTTCTTTTTGTAGCATCTTTGTGTTTCCTCATCTGTGGTGGGGCAACAGGCTCTTTCCACGTCTCACTCGTGGATTTCAAGCGCGGGAGGTAGTAAGTGATCTTAAAATGTTTCTTGACGCTTGTTGGTCTGGGGAACACACATGTTGCTGTGTGTGTGTGTGTCAAACTCTGTCCCTTCACAACGCAAAGGGGTAAAGCATACCTTGGTGGTGATATCTCACAATGTCACCACCTTGAAACTTTGTGAGAAGTCCGGAACAGCTTGTCAACCAGGTGCTCTTTTGCACTACTTGACCCAACTCAGCGCTCGGGGGGGTAGGCCTTGCATGCCTACAAGAAGTGCGAAGCTCTGTTGAAACCACTATGAGGGTTGGTGATTTCCATTTGGCTTTGTCACAGGGTGAGCGCGGTCAATTGGGCGTAGCTATGGCAATTGGGTCTGAGATGTGGCCAATGGAGTCCAAGATTGAGTGCGTGTCCTCACGCCTTATGCTTCTTTTGCTTCGTTGGTCCAATGTCGAGCTGATCGTGGCCAATGTACATGCTCCGCATTCCGGCCGAGACGAGACAGAGAGGTTGGCCTTTCTTCAACTGTTGCGGGAGTCTGTTGATTCGTGGAGGTGCAAACATCCACGTGCCAACCTTTTGTGCCTTGGCGATTGGAATGCGACCATCAAGTGGAGTGACCTCGATCCCGTCTTTCCAACTTGCGACACTTCGTCTTTTGTTGGTGAGGCCATCTTGGATCTTGCAGTGCAATGGGGGCTTGAACCGGTTCTCCCGGAAGGGGGGTGTGTACCAACACACCTTTTTTTTGCGGCACTCATCGCTGCCGCATTGACCACGTCCTTGCAAGTCATTCACTGTCAAGTTTTCTTTCCTGCCTTGATGTGCTGGCTGACCATGACTTGACCATCGATACGAGTGAGCACTCCGCTCACTTACCTCTTCAGTT